GTGATTTTGTGAGGAAAAAATATAATTTTGCCTTCAATGAATAGTCCAACATGGACTAAGTTAGTGTATGGGGGATTGTTTAAATTGACTCTCTTTTCTTTGGGCTTTGAGGGTCCCAAAAAAGGGGGTGTTTTGGGCTTTCAATTGTTTGGGCTTTGCATATCACACGCGCACGCCTCGCCTCGCCACGCCATGGTGCGCCCGCTTTGCCACATGTTTTTTTCTTTCTCTTGGCAATTAGCAATGTGGAAAACGCGCACGAAGTTCATATCGGCTGTGCGGTTTTTAGAAAGCGTGCAAACAGCCGCGCGAATTTGGCGAACGTTACCTTATTTTCTATGGGGATTCTCAATGGCTAAGGGTTTCTCAACCCTATAAATACAACCCTAGTGTGAGCTCGGAAAACATAGAAACGAAAAGGAAAAAACCTCTACTCTCTCTTCTGCCTCCGAGAAAAAATTCTTCCTCTCTAAAAATTCTCTATTACAGTTTACTTTCTATTGGGCAATCGTTTTCATCTGAGCAGAAGTTCTATACTCTCGCCCGAGTACAAAGACCGACCGTTTCTGAGGGCTTTTACCTCTAGGGGAGAGGGGATCATCTGCGTCAGGGCTATAGATGGGTCCTCAATCTTCTAGAACAGTGCTTGCTGTTGTGCGCAGCGGAAATTTCGGCAGAGTTTCTGGTACACAATAAGAGAGAAAGATCGATAAGAATTCTTGTTTCTCAAAGGGAACAAGAATCTGAAAGCCTAATATCACATCAAAGTGAGATACTAGCTCTTCCTCTCGTCAACTCTAGGACTACGCGTCGAGGGATCCTAAAACTATTACAATGACCACAAACTTAAACAACCAATTTTACGTGGTTCGGCAAACTGCCTACGTCCACGGGGCAAGGAGGGGGAAGATCTACTATTAGAGGGAGAGATACAACTAGGGTTTACAATCACACAATCTAAACCCTCAAACAAATTCTCTCAAAACCTCTCACACAATTATCTCTCTCAAAACAAAAGACATCCGCCTCTATACTTTGCTACAACCAAAAAAAAGGAATCTGCGTTTTCCTTTTTGCTGCTCCTGCGCACCTCTGCCTTGAATCTAACCCCTCAAACAAATACTCTCAAAACCTCTCACACAATTCTCTCTCTCAAAACAAAAGACATCCGCCTCTGTACTTTGCTACAACCAAAAAAAAGGAATCTGCGTTTTCCTTTTTCCTGCTCCTGCGCACCTCTGCCTTGAGCCTGCTGCAGCCA